CAGGTGTGCATGGTTTATCTTACGTGAAAGATATACAGCTTCTAGACTGTAGACCCCAAACGCAGACGTAACGGCGGATCTGGCTCAAGATTACTCGGGAATCAAAAACAAACTTGTTTTGCATTAAAAGATACTCATTCTTCAAGTGTAAACCCTAAAGACATGATTTGCTACCAAAAGAGTAAAAGAATGAACATCTCCGTTCATAATTTCTATAAAATACACTTGACGGCAACGGTATGGAGAAGGACCCCACTTGAAAAGTCAGTAGACTGTGGATCGTGTCATTTGGGGTTTTATCTTGGCATACATTTGCAGGCTGTTGCAGAAATTACACTGCCAACAACACTTACTTCCTACGACCCCACATTTTAACTCAAAATCCGTTATTTTGTGAAATTTACTTTTTGCTTATTGTTAAATGACTACTCGCTTTTGCGTTGTCTTACAATAGCGTAGGATAAGACTTTCGGCAGAAATTCAAGCAAATGTTGTGTTTTCTTTCATTCCATCAGCTTACTGTCTAGCGTGCTGGCCCACCCACAAAACTCCCTTTACCTTAAATCACGTATGGCACGATCCACAGTCTACTGACAATTAAGTAGGGTCCTTGTCAATACCGTTGTTCACTTAACTTTGTAGGTGTTAAAATCGATGGAAAAATGCATACTACTTAATAGGCCATGTTTCAACGAGTGTGACGTTTGCAGGTGGCTTAGAAGACGTGCATTAAATCGACGCAGCCCTGGCTTGACTAATATACCTTGAGATCATGCTGCATGATGCCTAATGCCGCAGTCCGACATAAGTAATCCTTCTTAGCCGAAAATACATTACAGAATTTCGACTGACATTTCGCGAGGTCGGCCACTGACCGTAGCTCGTCAGTTCGACCGTGGCAAACAACGATGACCACCATACGTCGCACAGAGGGGTGGGCGGGGGACAATGGCTCTTATTAATTCCAATGTATTTCATAGAAAAAATGCATAGAAATAATCCTGCTTTGACTCATTTAATAGAAAATTACGTCTTTTTCGAATTTCATACCTAAAAGAAAGGCGGAATTCGGCTTTAAGAAAATTTTCAAATTCCCGAGTAATTTCGAACCCGACCTACCATTACACCTGCATCTAGGGCTTCCAAACTACAAGCTGAATATTTACCGTGTACGGAAAATCATGCATTTACATACGCTTTTAAGAGGAGACTGTATGGGATTTTATAAAATTTTGCAGTGGATTTGACCTGTATTGTATATCTTAGAAGCAGCATTAGTAAATGCAGAGACACGATGTCTTATGAACGGGCACTCAACAGTCTTAAAAAATCTCGTTATTAGAAACTTTTTTGGAACAGAACTAAACCCTTCCTTCAAGTATGAAATCGCAAGACATAATTTTTAACCAACTGAGTGGATGAATGCTTTTATGCATTCTTTTCTATGAACTATATTTGAATTTCAATAGTTGTGAAAATGCGATTCCCAGGTGGCATATTAAAAGAAGAATAAGCGGTGTTCATCGGATGGGGTTTATTGGAGGTCCGACGTTTCGAGTAGTTGGTTCGTCTACCCATCTTCAGGGACTGGGAAGTCCTGCGCACAGCTCCCCATATATGGCGCACTTTGTTCAATGCGTGACCCGCCAATGCCGCCTGTGTGGCTGCATCCAACCCGCATGTCACCGTGACCTGAATCACCCCCGTCGGCCGCGGAGATGACTGACGGCCCCGATTGTCCCGCGCCATGACTGTCCCCCGTTAA